AAAAAAAATAAGGAAAGTCGCATTTATAAACTCCATACCAAAGACCGCATCTGGTAAGACACTTCGCAAAGATCTAATCAAACTAGCCATTTTCTAAACGTTGAAACTATCTATTTGCAACTGTAAATGATGGTACTGTTTTTTCCAACAAGAAAAAAATTGTGTAATAATATATATTGAATAATTTTAAAAGAGCTTCTTCGCAACTCTTCATACCAAAACATTGCATCTTTACGGTTCATCTTAGATGTAATTGATAAGGCATTCATGAACACAAAACTATGGAAAGACGCAAAACATCCTCACAAATTATTCGACTCGAAAAGATCCAAACATACTCGCTATCTCAAATGTTTAACAAGTACTAAAGTTATACTCGCTATCCAAAAAAAAGTTATAATCTGATAACGAAAGCTAGACTTGAGTCTTTCGGATAGTAGTGTATAACTTGGATCAATGTAAAGTTGTACCGTTATAAATCATTGATGCTAGAGCATGATTATAATTCATCGATGCTAGAGCATGATTTACCTACTACTAAATCATTGTCATTTCGGTAGGTCCCGTTATAAAGATTGACGCTCGAGCATGATTATAGTTGGGAAATATACCTGACTTTTTAACAATTAAATCTATTTAATTAAATCAAAAATCAATACTAAAATTTTAAATATATGATCAAGGTTCTAAATATAGTAGGATTTATATTTACAGTAATTATACAACGTATATTTTACTACGTATATAATTAGTTGGTGTGATTCGTACCGCTAAGTCAAATCTCCTTCAACATTTTTTTTTTTCCGTTAATACGCCTGAAGAGAAATGATGGATCCTTCTTCTCAGAGATACCTCATTGATCCGAGAAGCGGTTTCTGCAAATCAAACTCAACGTTTTACAGTAAACGTAAACCATTGCCGCTTCCGACGAACTCCTCTCTCGACGTCACTACTTTCATCTCCTCTCAACCTCACAGAGGCACCACCGCCTACATCGACGCCGCCACTGGCCGCCGCATAAGCTTCTCCGATCTCTGGACAGCCGTAGATCGCGTCGCCGATTATCTCTACCATGAAATCGGGTTACGAAGAGGCGACGTCATCCTCATCCTCTCTCCTAACTCCATCTCCGTCCCCATCGTCTGCCTTGCCGTCATTTCTCTCGGCGCCGTCGTCACCACCGCTAACATTCTCAACACCACCGGTGAGATCTCCACACAGATCGGAGACAGCAACCCGAAACTCGCCTTCACGACGGTCCAGCTCGCAAACAAACTCCCCGGCTCTATCTCCGTCGTCCTCATCGACGAGCGCGTGGAACCCACTCGCGGAGTGAGAGTGGTTGGGATTCTGAGCGAGATGATGAATAAGGAACCGAGTGGGATACGAGTCAGAGACCGAGTCAACAAGGACGACACAGCGATGCTTCTCTACTCGTCTGGAACCACAGGACCGAGCAAAGGAGTGATCTCCTCTCACGGGAATCTAACCGCTCACGTCGCGAGATTCGTCTCTGATAATTCGATCGGAGACGATATCTTCCTCTGTACAGTTCCGATGTTCCACTCCTACGGATTGTTGAACTTCGCTATGACGACGGTGGCTTGTGGTTCGACGGTGGTGATACTCCGGAGATTCGGGCTCGACGACATGATGGAAGCGATAGAGAAATACAGAGCCACGATTCTGGCTTTGGCGCCGGCGGTTGTGGTGGCTATGATAAACGGAGCAGATGAGGTCAAGGCAAAGTACGATCTGAGCTCACTGAGAATGGTGAGGTGCGGCGGAGCGCCGTTGAGCAAGGAGGTTACGGAAGGGTTTCTAGAGAAATATCCGACGGTTGATATTTTGCAAGGATACGCTTTGACGGAATCAAACGGCGCAGGAGCTGCGACGGAAACGGTGGAGGAGAGCCGGAGATACGGTGCGGTGGGGTTGTTGACGCCAGGTCTGGAAGCGAGGATTGTGGATCCGGTTACGGGTCGGGTCATGGGTGTGAATCAAATGGGCGAGCTTTTGCTTAAAGGCCCTACTATTGCCAAAGGTAGTAAACAAACATTATATATATTATACACTACCATTATCTCTTTTAACTTTAAACTAAATACCTAGTCCAAATAACAGTTGAATATAAATTTGATTATTTATCAAGATGTTTAAAAATTCAAATATCGTAAATGACAACTGCATTTTTTTTTGCTCTTTTTCGCTTACAAGGTTACTTTGGAAACGAAGAAGCTACAAATGAAACCATGGATTTAGAAGGATGGCTAAAAACTGGAGACCTTTGCTATATCGATGATGATGGGTTTCTTTTTGTTGTGGATCGATTGAAAGAATTAGTCAAATACAAAGGCTATCAGGTTAAATATCTAAACATCTTCATTACAGATCAACGATATAAAAAAAATAATCTTAACGGTTTGGATTTGATAAACAGGTTGCTCCAGCTGAACTAGAAGCTCTTCTTATTACTCATCCAGACATTCTTGATGCAGCCGTTATTCCGTAAACTCTTTCACAACTTCTTCATTTCTTTCAATTAAAAACGGCATGAGTTTTGACTTCCAAACATTAAAACGGCATTTTCTTTCACAACATAAGAGTTTTTCTTTTATCGCGAAAGGTTTCCGGATAAAGAAGCAGGACAATGTCCGATGGCTTACGTGGCACGAAAGCATGAGAGCAATCTCTCTGAGAAACAAGTGATCGATTTCATCTCTAAACAGGTGCTTCTATAATCTTAACTATCACTCGATTCATAAAAATACTTTGATTTTGGTGGTAAATAATATTCGTGTATTGAACAGGTGGCACCGTATAAGAAAATAAGAAAGGTCGCATTTATAAACTCCATACCAAAGACTGCATCCGGCAAGACGCTTCGCAAGGATCTAATCAAACTTGCTACTTGTAAACTTTGAAACTATTTATTTGCTACATCCTCAAAAATTTTCAATAAAAGAAGCATTGTAATAGTATCTACATATATCTATGTTTAAATTAAATAAAAGGAAAAAAACATGTCTAGACAATTTGTAATGGGTTTTTCTTTTCAAGATACTTAGTGATAGTAGGTAGCTTGTCATGGATATATATTTGAAATGTTTATTGAGTGCTGCCAAGTGAAATAGATGATGCAACAAAGCCTCAACCACCTTTAATTAAGTTTTTAGCTAATAATGGACTTGGACCTTCCCGTCACAACATTTTTAATCACAATATACTTTAATTTGTCCGAATCTGATTAAACGACAGAATTTTCAACCACCTTTTTTTTTATCAAAAAAATCAAAAAAAAAAACCAAAGAGTAAATCAGTAGCTATAAAAAATGGGAAAATTAGGAGAAAAAAAAATACTTTTTGACCATATATTTGTCAATCTAAACCTTTATTCTAAGAATTTGAAAGAATTTTTTTGTTTTCCGTCTGAAAGATTATTATTGATATTACCGTTAACCGAGATTACAAAACAAAATTTCAAAGCGGAGCCCAAAACAAGGGGAGCGAAACCCAAACATGGGGAGCGAAGCGGTATTACATTAATGGAAACTCAACCATATTCTCAAGACAAAACTAAAATAGAGATTGAACACCAAGAAAACCAAGAGCCATCACACCAATATTGCGTTTTCTCAGAACCCAAGTTGAACGTCTGACATAAAAGACCAGATAACACACCGATAATCAGAAACCTCCTATAGTGATAAAGATATACCTATCAATTCCAAATTTCCTTATCTTCCTAATCCGGTAAGACTTTTAACAAAAAATTTCTGCTAGATGCGGCGATGTCTACAACTGAGACTTTAAACGCCTAGATAGAAGATATAATGAAGGACCAGATCTCGATCAGATCTGTTTTGTAGAAACAAGGAGCGAATATGATCCTATCCTGGCAGCACCCGACTTAATTAGATCGAGAAAGGAACGAGATCGAACTAGAGAGAAAGCAAAGGAACAACAACGGATAGATTGAAATCCAACAATAATTGACTGAAACCCTTAATTTCGAACAATCATAAATACTCAAAAGAAAACCGAAATCGAAACGCAAGTGACCCTAGGAGCGATGATGTATACAAACCCAAAAACCTTATTCATAAGAACCAAATGGGATGGGATATACTACAAAGTAAAAACTGAACCTCAAACTAGGCAAAAGAACGACATGGAGAGACTTAAAGTCTAAGACCAGAAACCTCTCAAAGAAACCGGTCGGAGAGCGGATCTGAGAAGTCACTTTGTCTGATCAAAACAAGATCGGAGAGAACCTGCAGCCAGGAACCCCACCAGTCCGAGAAAACCCAATCGCAAAAAAGATCTGAGGTTGGAGCAAACCCGAAAAGCAGATCGAGGACGAAGGAGACAAAACATAGATGACGATGACACCAGGGAGAGATGACCGATGCTCCAGCGGTCGGAGAACCCGACGACTCCAAATCCCCAAACCCCAACAGCCGACTGAAACTTCTTCTCCGCTGCTGATGCCAAACCGAGGATCGATAACACCGCATAAAAATTAAAGAAATACAAAAGGGGTCCGTGACCGGCGCTATCGAAGTCTCCGGCCACCGGAAAGCGTCGATGAATTTACTGTGCTCTAGAGAGAAATAGCCTATCTCTCGGTATTTCTCTCTCTGTCGGCTGTGAAGATATTAAACCTTTGACTAATATTTATCATAAATATAATAAAAATGCTAAACAAAATTTATTATTTTTCTAATTTTTCCATGTATATATACCATCAACATAAATATTGCATTGATTCAAACTCTTCTATAACATG